CTGTATTTTGTTTTGCTGGGAGTTTTGTTTTCTGTCTTCCTATTGCCAGTCTACTTGTCTGCATACATACACAAAAACAGGGACTGCACTTACACTAACGCAATTTTTTTTTCACCATAGATATGGAAGAGAAGCTGTTCAAGGCTGTAGGTATGGCTCAAACCCTAAAGTAATCTAGTACAATATAAAATAAACCCAGACGCTCAGCTTTCTTCCAGTTGCAGACTTTTAACAGTACATAATAGCACACATGACGGCATTTCGCTCATGCATTGTGACCTTATTCAAATCCAAGGACTTGACAAAGGTCACACTGCGTTACTGAAACATTGTCATGCATGCTATTATGTACTGTTAAAAGTCTGAAATTGGAAAAATGCTGAGTGCCTTAACGTCTTTTCTATTTTACTAAGTCTACTTGTCTAGTCTATCTCTATCTCTATCTCTCTAAACTCTGTAGCCAATACATCCTGATCTGATGGCATAGTAATTCTGGCCTTATAATAAATTTTTTAGTTACTCAATTGTTATATTACTGGGATTATATAGTAAACGTTTGCAGCCAGAAATAAACAAAAGCACAAAATTGCACAGCATCTTGTATGTTTTATCGATGGCGTATTTGGTATACATGTTTCATGTATAAGCATTAATTTTGCTGCACTAAAATAGTAATATAAATTAATAGGTAATACATATTTTCTGCTGCTAATCTGACGGTCCTTTTTGGGCAAAGTCTGCTTTGTGCATGCTGATAGTACAGTGCTAATTAGCAGCTCTGGAAATTTCAATTATTTGGACCCCTTCAAAGTTTGTGGCGTCTGACGTATTCATGGTTATAGAAGACATAAAAGAACCAAAAAGAAGGATTCAGAGCTGAAAAGGTACTGGTAAATGCAATAAGGCAGCGTGAACAACCCAGGCCAGAATATCTCTTATCAGAAAGTAGTACGAGGTAGTGGTTGATAGGATTTGGTAATAGCACATTGATGTGACCTCCCGTGATGTATGCAACAAAAAAACACGAAGACAAAATGGGGTATAATATAGTGTAGTAAACAGTTGTATTACGTACTACACTACACCCTGTTCCAAATTATTATGTAAATGATTAAATAATTGATGTAAATAACAGTCAGCATAAGTCTCATGTTATCAACTATTAAGAGTACAATTCAAATTTTATTGAACAAACCTCCTAATAATATCAGTATTTTATTTAAACATAAAAAACTTACAATGCACTGTTCCAAATTATTAAGCACAGTAAGGTTCAAAACACTTTATAGGTTGTAAAGAACTGAAAATTGTCATTTGTTGTGTTTGCAGCATATTTATTGAAATCAAAAGCTATTTCAATCAAACCTATAACAAGATTTTAACTTTTAAAACATTTTAACAGGTCACGTTACATTTTAACATAGGACCCCTTATTTGATAGCAGCTTCACAAGTCTTGCATCCATTGAACTTGTGAGTTTTTGGACAGTTTCTGCTTGAATTTGTTTGCAAGATGTCAAAATAGCCTCCCAGAGCTGCTGTTTGGATGTAAACTGCCGCCTACCCTCATAGATCTTTTGCTTAAGGATGCTCCAAAGGTTCTCAATAGGATTGAGGTCAGGGGAGGATGGAGGCCACACCATGACTTTCTCTCCTTTTATCCCCATAGCAGCCATTGATGCAGAGGTATTCTTTGCAGCATGAGATGGTGCATTGTCATGCATGAAGATGATTTTATTACGGAAAGCATAGTTCTTCCTTCTGTACCAGGGAAGAAAGTGGTCAGTCAGAAACTCCACATACTTTGCAGAGGTCATCTTTACACCTTCGGGGACCCTAAAGGGGCTGACCAGCTCTCTTCCCATGATTCCGGCCCAAAACATGACTCCACCACCGCCTTGCTGACGTCGCAGCCTTGTTGGAACAGGGTGGCCATCCACCAACCATCCACTTCTCCATCCATCTGGACCATCCAAGGTTGCACGGCACTCATCAGTGAACAGGACTGTTTGAAAATTAGTCTTCATGTATTTTTCTGTCCAATGCAGCCCTTTCTGCTTGTGAGCATTGGTTAGTGGTGGCCGAATAGAAGGGTTATGCACAGTTGCAAGACTCTGGATGACTCTTCACCTAGATGTCCGTGGAACTCCAGAGGCACAGCAGCTTTAAATATCTATTTGCTGCTATGTCATGGTATTTTAGCAGCTGCTCTCTTGATCCAATGCATGAATCTGGCAGAAATGTGCCTTTATCAGCACGAACCCGTCTGTGCTCTGAATCAGCCACAAATCTCTTAGTAGTGCAATGATCACACTTAAGTTTTCGTGAAATATCTAATGTTTTCAAACCTTGTCCAAGGCATTGAACTATTTCACTCTTTTCGGCAGCAATGAAAATGGTGCTTGGCTTAATAATGTGGAACACCCTCCTTTAGTAGTTTTTAAATTGGCAATCTAATTATCACAGGTGTCTGAGATTGTTTTCAGTGATCAAATGAGCCCTGAGACACAATGCCATCCATGAGTTAAACTGAAAAACAAAATATTTAATCTTTGTGACACTTAAATAGAATTTGCATAATAATTTGGAACAGGGTATATTATCCACCCTTTTGCGCTACTGTTGTTTTTGCACGCATCTCCAGAGCTCACATCAAGGTGCTACTCCCAACTCTTTCCTACCACTACCTCATACTTCATTGGGGTCATATGAACAAACATTTTCTTTGTAGATAGCTGCATGGTAACATACTTTAAGAAAGAATTAAGTAAGATTGTTACTATGCAATGGTAGGGTTTCATTATATATTAATCAATTAGTCCACCCTTGGGGCTACTTAATATTTAATTAATAATTTCATGAAACGTTTCTTAGGTTTAAAAATAATAACAAAAAATGCAACACAGTGTAATAATGATAAGGCAACAAACTGTACTTTAATAAACAAAAGGACATTTTAATTAAATTAAAATATATATAGTGTTGCAAATGAAAGACATGTCCTTTTATTTTTAAAAGGAATTAAAGTCTTTGATGTACAGTATTGTCAAAACTGTCTAAAAGAATACCTGCATTGCTTTAAAAAAAAAAAAAAAAAAAGGTTCAAGGATCATTTGCAAATGCATCTTTCTAAATTTCGCTTTATAAAATAATCTACTTTATTCTGTAATATTCTGTAAAGCTTTTTTAAAATCTGAATCTACACTCTCTACACTCTGTGCATATAGTTCCAATTTGGGTTATGGCAACTGTTTTAAGCTTGACCTCAGTGCCAGAAATTGTTTTATGAAATAGAGATTGTGCTTTGTTGCAAGACTGGAATTAAATATCCAAAGGAGTAGTAAATGCTTCTAAAGGGCTGATAAAAATGATATTGATTTTCTGATAACAGAAAATCTTGACATTAGTTCACAGGTCAGTGAACTGATGAAGCGTTTTCATGTAATGAGTCAGATCTTGTTGGGAGAGTGATGTCTTAAATTGCACTACATTCTATTTTAAAATTAAATCTTCGGAAGGTTTACAGGTAAAATAAATGGTAAAGTGGAAAATAAACTTTGGTATACAGAAGAAACGATAAAAGTCTTGTTGGAGTATCGTCCCCTGCAATAAACTGAGCAAGGTTTCTGGAAATGTAGTGCTCCTTAGCTTGAGAATGACCTTTGTGCAGGCTGAACGGTTGCCCACAGTGGTTGACCCAAAAGTGTAACCCAAGTGTTTGTGAACAATAGGTTGACCCAAGTGTTTAGTAGATTTAAAAAAAAAAAAAAAAAAACATTTATTTAAATAAAGGCACATAATATAAGGAATACAGCAGTACTCAGCGTTTTGCAGAAGGCAAGTTTGGCTAGCCAGAATTGTAGCAGGTCTAATTTCCAAACCCATAAGGCTGGATTTAAGATCCACCCATTGTCACATATCCAGTAGGGCATACCTCATAGCCAGCTGGGCCAGGTGAGCTGCCTTACAATACGCAAAAGAGAAGAAAATAAGCTGTAAATGTAGGATTACTATCTAAAGGACAGAATAGAGGGGTAACCCTTCACAAAAGTGAAATATAAAGAGAAAGAGAACATAATCTGCTCTAATTAACTACGGTCTTAAATAAATTGAACACTTAAAATTTAACGTTTAATAGATATAACTAAAAAAAGGTAAAGTAACCTTAAAGGACCACTATAGGCACCCAGACCACTTCAGCTTAGTGAAGTGGTCAGGGTGCCAGGTCCAGCTAGGATTAACTCTTTCTTCTATAAACATAGCAGTTTCAGAGAAACTGCTATGTTTATAATAGGGTTAATCCAGCCTCTAGTGGCTGTCTTATTGACAGCCGCTAGAGGCACTTCGGTGCTACTCACTGTGATTTTCACAGTGAGAAGACACCAGCATCGATAGGAAAGCATTGATAATGCTTTCCAATGGACTGGCTGAATGAGCGTGCGGCCCTTGCCGCGCATGCACATTCAGCCGATGATGTCGCTATGGAGGAGGAGAGCTCCCCGCCCGGCGCTGGAGAAAGAGGTAAGTTTAACCCCTTCCTCCCCCTAGAGCCTGGCGGGAGGGGGACCCTGAGGGTGGGGGCACCCTCAGGGCACTATAGTGCCAGGAAAATGAGAATGTTTTCCTGGCACTATAGTGGTCCTTTAAATACAGGGGATAAGGAAAATATATACAGGGGACAATGATATATAAAAACAAGAAATAATATAAAGTAGGAATGACTTTCACAGAGCTAGTTAAGGGAACACTATAGTCACCTAAATTACTTTAGCTAAATAAAGCAGTTTTAGTGTATAGATCATTCCCCTGCAATTTCACTCCTCAATTCACTATCATTTAGGAGTTAAATCACTTTGTTTCTGTTTATGCAGCCCTAGCCACACCTCCCCTGGCTATGATTGACAGAGCCTGCATGAAAAATAAACTGGTTTCACTTTCAAACAGATGTCATTTACCTTAAATAATTGTATCTCAATCTCTAAATTGAACTTTAATCACATACAGGAGGCTCTTGCAGGGTCTAGCAAGCTATTAACATAGCAGGGGATAAGAAAATCTTAATTAAACAGAACTTGCAATAAAGAAAGCCTAAATAGGGCTCTCTTTACAGGAAGTGTTTATGGAAGGCTGTGCAAGTCACATGCAGGGAGGTGTGACTAGGGTTCATAAACAAACAGATTTAACTCCTAAATGGCAGAGGATTGAGCAGTGAGGCTGCAGGGGCATGTTCTATACACCAAAACTGCTTCATTAAGCTAAAGTTGTTCAGGTGACTATAGTGTCCCTTTAAACAAAAAGATACTTAGTCATGAAGTAATGACTCCATAAAAGTAACTATCTGAAAGTATCTAATGTGATAGTAGCTGTTATAGGAAAGATAAAGATATCCTTACAATGCATGTGGAGGTGTGGTAGGCCTAGACCTTTCTCTTACCATCGTCTATCTAAGACCTTCATACTTTGTCTCTTATTCCCCAGATGAAAGAGTTAACTGCATCCTGAAGACTGTACAAATATTGCTTACAAACTGAGTGAGCCTGGAAGATAAATAGCATCCTGGGCAGGATATTCCCTTTGATTGTATGCATTCTCGGGGATAATAATTAGTATTGTTCCATAAAGATCATTCCAGTTTCATAATACAGAGTATAACACAGCCCAGGAAACCAATTTTTGCAGTAACTAGGCTGGAATGAAAGAAGCCACAGAGGGAAATGGTCAAGACAATGCAAATTGCTGAATACAGCCCAGTATTATATGATGATGGAAAGAAGAGGAGAGATAAATAAGAGAAGAAGGGACAAAAGCAGAAGAGGAGAGGTAGTAGAAAATGAGGGGCAAGGAGAAGAATGCAGGAAAGAAAGTAGTATAGAAAATAGAAAGAAAAAAGAGAAGGTAGAAAGGAAGTAATGGAGAAGATGCAAGGAAGGTGACAATAAAGCTGGCAATAGAGAGATGTATGACTTAGTCTAAACCAGTCCCTTTCATCCTCCAGGCAGTGGAAAGAGATGTGCCTATCCTTGCGTGATCTCTATACCATCTTTGCAGATGGAGCTCAAATCTTCAGGTGGGCTCCCCAACCTCCAACCATTCTATTGGCAAAAAGTTGAATGGTGGGGGAACTAAAGTTGTCAAAGCAAAGCCATCAGCAGGATGAATGTCAAAGGCATGAAGGGATATCTTGCAGTTGGAGCAGGGGGCCTAACATTTCCAAAATCCCACTTTCTTCAGGAGACCTTGAATGGTCAAATTATTATGCTTAGATCAATTGGAACCAATTAGTGTTCCACGTGTACTAAGATCTAATTGTGAGCCACCACATTTCATTCCACTCTAGTGTTCAACTCTGGTTTATGGCCTGTAGCTTTTCTCTGATTTACCGCAAATCACAGGTAATTTTTTTGAGCAAAACACACTTGCAGTTGCCCACCTGGTGTCTGCTAATGATAAGGAGTGGTTCACTTTTGCAGCCTTTGCTTTATTTAGAGTGCATGTACATGGCTCATCTCTGCCACCATCACGAGTTGTGTCCTAAGGCCTGTGGGCTGTAGTGAAGAGGGAAGCCAAAGAGCAATTTCTGCCTTTTTGGGTGCTTGTTCTAAGGGGTTTGGTACTCATTATGTTTCATCAATTTTGTCCTCTACTCTAAAACCCAAACTGGGGCATTTTTTTGTGAGATGTAGCATATTGTAGGATGTTTCTAGCAGAGCAGTGTAACTTAGCAGCCATTCTGCTCCTGAGCATACCCCTTCAGTTTATTTTATTCATTATATAATGTAAGGCATTAAACGTTTAAGAATCAGTAAACTGCATAAACCTGAATCAAAGTTATGAAGAAAATGTGCCAGAGACCTTGTGATATATCGAGGCTAAAAACAGTGTTTAAAAAGTAGAAAAGGCATACACCCCATACCTTGTGAAAAAATGGTATTGTGTTACAGACCACTGCAGTCAAGGGGCTATTAGATTATACTGAATTTTTGTTTTGTCTCTTTGGACATTTTTAACACTTTAAATGTCCACTACTGTGAAAAGAATACAATCTTTCTCTGAATCTTCCAAAAATATAAGAATGCATGGTTTTTAGAGCAGATATAATTAACTGTTCATGAAATATGGGGCTCTAGTGAACCTGAAACTGAACCTAAGCAAATGTGACATGTTTAATTTCACAATCCTATCAACCATGGTGACTATCTCAAATATTCAGTTTCCCTTTAATTGGTGCATGAGTGTGATGAAATATTTAAGTATCATTATTCATAAAGACCTTGCCCAACTGTACCTTAGAAATTTTGTCCCATTCCTTCGGGTGTTTCAATCCAACTTGAGGTCTTGGAAAACACTTTATGTTTCTTGGTTTGTCGTGGTAATATTAAACCTGCTCCCCGGGAACTTTACCCCAATGACATGATCCCTATTAAACTTCTGAAGTTAGTTTTGCCTCCCTGGACTCTGCAAGACTATGTATTGTGGGGATGAGGGCCCAGATTTAATCCAGAGGTTTTACATCTCCCTAAGCATCTTGGAGTGGTTGGCTTTTCTTATTCTTCTTCTTCTTATTTTATTATTTATATAGCGCCATTAGATTGCATAGCGCTGTTCAATGGGTGGACTAACAGACATGTAATTGTAACCAGTCAACTGGACGTACAGGAAAAGAGAGGTGGAGAGCCCTGCTCAATGCACTTACATTTTAGAGGGAGTGGGGTATAGTGACACAAAGGGTAAAAGTAGGAGTACGAAGTAGGTTGTTAGAAAAGTATTAACTGAGGGCTTAGTCGTTCATTTTTGACAGTTGCAGGAGAGGAGTCATGGTAACCAGAAAACCAGTAACCCATGATTAGTCATTGCAAAATGTTTAACCCCTTAAGGACACGACATGTGTGACATGTCATGATTCCCTTTTATTCCAGAAGTTTGGTCCTTAAGGGGTTAAATTTTAATAATGAAAAGCTCATCCCAAATCTAATCCTTCAAGATTATTTTGCTTTGGTGACCCATCTTAGATGTGAGTTTAGCCCTCTCAGCTCTATGTTATATAAAAGCTATCCTGATCACTTTGGCATTTCTGTTTAGACTATACCTCCAAATAGCAAGCCAATGGCTATCCACTAACCTTTCCAGGAAGCGTCAGGTAACATGACAGTTCCAATTTTCAGGTTTTCTTTTTAGTTTTCTACCACTTGAGACACTTCTATCTACTCAAACTGGGACAGACTGGAGCCTTGTGATAAACAACTCCTGCTGCTAAGTGTATAGTCCCACTGTGGAACTGTTTGACACATCTATTCGATCTTCTAGATTGGCTCACACCAACACTCACATGGGTACTTGGTAATCTTTACATTGGCGAATCCAGGGGGGGGGGGCAACAGGGCAATTGCCCCCCCCCCCGAGATTCTCCCCTGCCAGCTAATGCAGGGCTGGCATTGTCCAAGTGGCAGCCCTGCAATGTGCCTGCGGACCGGGAAGGGAGATCAGTGATCTCCCTTCCCGGTCCGCAGGCACATTGCTGACAGCCAGCAGGGGAGGGAGAGAGGACCCGGGAGCTCAGTCTGCAGCTCCTCCGCGCGGGCTAGACTTCACTCCACACTGGAACCACCAGGGATTCCCACTGGGACCACCAGGGACAGAGAAATGCCCCCCCTCTTCCTCAATAAAGGTACGAAGGGAGGGGGGACATCAATATATTTATTTTATTAAATACATTTTATTTTTTTAAAAAGGCCTCCCTACCCTCCTTCCTCCCCCATACACACATACACTGCCCCCCATACACACATACACTGCCCCCCCATACACACACACTGCCCCCCCATACACACACACTGCCCCCACACAAACACTGCACACCCATACACACAGACACAAACAGTGCCCTACACACACTGATGCCCCCCATACACACATTGCCCCACACGCACACACGACCCCCCATACAAACACTGCCCCCATACATGAAGTGCCCTCCCCATACACACACTGCCCCACACAGACATACAGTGCCCCAGATACACACACTGCCCCAAACACACAAAGTGCCCCCCATACACACACTGCCACCCTCACACACACTGCCCCACACATACACTGCCCCCTAACACACACTGCCACACTCACACACTTCACTATGTCCTATATCCCAGCAGACCCCAGGAAAGTTGTCAAACTGTTCTTAAACGGTATGACTACTTACTCTGGGGTGGGATCCTGGCACTACTGGCACCATAACTACTACACTGAGCTGTAGTGGTTATTGTGCCAGGATTATTTATTAAAATAATCTACAAGTGCCCCTCCCGAGATCAGGCTCTGGATCCGCCACTGTATCTTTAACCCCTTAAGGACCAAACTTCTGGAATAAAAGGGAATCATGACATGTCACACATGTCATGTGTCCTTAAGGGGTTAAATGTTAAGAGTAGTGATGTCGCGAACCCGAAATTTTCGGTTCGCGAACGGCGAACGCGAACTTCCGCAAATGTTCGCGAACTGGCGAACCGCCCGAAACGCCATTGACTTCAATGGGCAGGCGAATTTTAAAACACACAGGGACTCTTTCTGGCCACAATAGTGATGGAAAAGTTGTTCCAAGGGGACTAACACCTGGACTGTGGCATGCCGGAGGGGGATCCATGGCAAAACTCCCATGGAAAATTACACAGTTGATGCAGAGTCTGGTTTTAATCCATAAAGGGCAGAAATCATCTAACATTCCTAAATCACAATCAATATGGATTGACACCTGACATATGACATATTGACACCTTGACATATGGATTGACACCTGTCCTCAGAGCCCTGATGCACACGGACACAGAGCAGAATAGGGACTGTTCCCCCTACATAGGGTCACTTGGCAGATATGGATTGACACCTTGTTACAAACTGCTATTTGTAACGGGCCCTTAAATGGCAAATTGCCCTGTTTCCCTGGGTTGTGGAGAAGCCTCTTTGCCAGCCTCCTCCCGCATGACTATGGCCCCTGGGAGATTGTGAAAATGTATGCACTTTTATTTGGTGTGTATGGCCCTTTAAGACTGTCGGCGGGCATATTGGGGCTTATGGACTCTTTATGTGACTGGTGCTGGCCCTTTAAACACCTTTTTTGGGACATCAGAAAGATTGGGACACTGCCCCTTTAAGGCCGTGTCCCCAGACTTGTTGGGGACACTGCCCCTTTAAGACGGTGTCCCTTGTGTCCCCAGACCTGGTGCAAACCCTTTGTGCCTGCCTGGCTATTCCCCACTTGGTTCAG